TACTGCTACTGCTGCTGCTGCTCTACGACGACGACTCCTACTCCCGCCCCCTGATGCTGCCGCAGCTACTGCTCTCATCGTTGCTACTGCTGCGGCTTTAAGCTCTGACGGCTGTTGGGTGTTGGGTTAGGGGACTGGCGGGTTTCGGGGTTCAGAGTTAGTAGGAGATATACAGCTTCGACAGTGTTTGCTCAAGGGAGCTTGGGGTCCACCGGCTTACAGCTTTTGGCGGACGGGAATCTGTAAAAAGGCGGCTGCAGGTTCATCGGTCACGAGTTTCGATGACGCCGATGATACAGCTGTTGCAGCTCTTGCCCCACTGAATTCCTGTGTTCTGGGAGTCCTGAAAGCTTGGAGGGACTCCATCTCCGAAACTCAGGACACCGGTCAAGGGTTCTGGGTCTAGGCCGAGGAAGTAAGGATTTATGGCGGCGGCCGTCAACCCGCAAGTTTCCTGACATCGAGACTGTAGGTAAGATCCTCTCGATCCCAGTTCGAGGCTCCCTGGAGGCCCTGGACACCCGGAGCCTCCCCCACTGGCACGCCCAGGGGCAAGAAGCCTACGTGGAGCACCTCGGCAAGCTGTTCTATGAGATTGATGTACATAGCCTACCAGGTGCACGCAGTGGTAGGTAACACCTGTAACAAAAACTTCCACTTGCGTTCTGAATCGTACATGAGATTAAGTGACAGTTCATGTGATGTCGTCAGAGGGTAGAGGTGGTAGTTGTGGTTGGTAACGGTGGTAGTCGTGGCAGTCGTAGTGGTCAGTGGTGGTCGCGATGGTAGTGATGGTGGTGGTAGTGGGGTTGGTAGTGGTGGTAGTGGTGGTAGTGTTGGTAGTGGTGGTAGCAGTGGTGGTAATGGTGGTAGTAATCGTGGTAGTAATCGTGGTGGTCCTGGCTGCAGTGGTGGCAGTGGCAGTAGTGATCGCACTCGTCGACGAATCATACGGCATGGGCCTGAGCTTAAGCCTCCGAATTATTTCTGCTAGCGGCTAGGTGGTGGACGCAGCACTACGGACGAAGCTCAGAAGGAACCACTACCACAACCACTACCACAAGCATTAGAGCACGACCACTACAACTACCACTAACCGAGTAGCTAGCACTGCACTGCCATGCCACTGCCACTACCGCTGCCACTGCGACGACGAGGACGACTACCGCCACTGCTACTGCCACTGCCACTCCTACCACTACCACTACCACCACTATCACCTACGACGACTACGATGACTACGACGACGATTACGACCAGTACTACGACTACTACATACGACTACTATCACTACAACGGCTACTATGACTACTCGACTACTACTACGACGACGACTACTACCACTGCCGCTTCTACTACCACTACCACCACCCCTACCACTACTACTGCTTCTACTACTACTACTACTACTACTACTACTTCTACTACTTCTACTACTACTACTACTACTACGACGACGACGACGACGGCAACGACGAAGACGACGACGAGGACGACTATCAACACCTGCTCCTGCTCCTGCTACTGCTTCTGATTGTGCTCCTCCTGTGCTCCTGCTCCCGGTACTGCTACTGTTCCGGCTACTGGTAATTTGAACGTATAGATATGTATGCGCATGTATGCACGAGCACAGACGTATATGTCATAGATATGCACATTTAGACTGTTTTTCCTGCGTGCCACATATATGTAACCTAGGACAATGCCGCCATCGCTCTAAACTTTAAACCCTAAATTTCTCTAAACCCTGAACCCCTAAAGCCGAAAACCTAAACCCTAAGCCCAAAACCCTAAACCCCGAAGGCATCAGTCATCGTCATCGAACTTCCAGAGGTAGGGATCTTCCTGCATGCAGAGAAACTTGCTTTTGGACTGAAACACGCCACGTTTTAGGGTTTAAGGTCTAGGGGGTTAAAGTTTAGGGGTTGAGGCTTTAGGGGTTTAGGCTTCAGGCTTTAGGATATAGTAGGGTTTAGGGGTTTAGGCTTTAGACGTTAATGGTTTAGGAGTTTCGGGTTACATAAGGGGAGACTCCTAGCCTGTACATGAAGCCCTTATAACACCCGTGAGAATCCGAAGAACCAGAAACCGCTTCAACTTTTAGGGTTTAGGGTTTAGGGTTTAGGTTTTGGAAAGCCACGATTTCTCTGGATCGGATCACGCACACCCCCACGGAGGTGGTAGTAGTAGTAGTAGTAGTAGTAGCAGCAGCAGTAGTAGTAGTAGTCGTACCAGTAGTAGTAGTAGTAGTAGTAGTAGTAGTAGTAGCAGTAGCAGCAGCAGCAGGAGTAGTAGTAGTAGTAGTAGCAGAAGTAGCAGTAGCAGTGGTGTTAGTTGTAGTAGCAGAAGAAGTAATGGTAGTGGTAGTGGCAGCAGCGGCGCGCAAGCCCCCTGCAATCTGCCTTGGACATTTAATTTAAGGGTTTAGGGTTTAGGGTTTAGGGTTTTAGGGTTTTAGGGTTTAGGGTTTAGGGTTAAGACGACGAGACAAATATCACAACAAGGCTCAGATCTCGAGACACTCCTTCGGCAAAATTGCACAGAAATTCATGGAAGCCCTGCCTCCTAATGGAAATCACTCAGCAGACCAAACGGATTGGATCTCAGATTGAGGCCGGGGCCACGACACTACACCAAACTAGTTTGAAATCTAGGTTTTGGTGCAAAGAACACTCAGCCAAATGGTCCAACATCCCTAACTAAACCCTAAACCCGAAACCGTGAACCCTAAACCCTAAACCCTAAAATCTCCAAGCGACAACCTCCAAACCAGAATCCGAAGCCCTAACAGAGTCGACATCGTCAGCTGGGCAGCCACAACTCGGACAAAGCCACCATTCACCTGCGCCCACTTGGAGGATCATGGGGCTTAGTAAGTGGGGTGACAAACAGGGGAAATATACTTATGGGTGTAGGGTTTGGGGTTTAGGGCTTAGGGCTTGGAGGATCATGGGACTTAATAAGTAAGGTTATAAGTCCCCTAAGTGGGGCTATAAGTATGGTTACCCTAATTATAACCTTACTTACTAAGTCCCCTGATCCTTTAAGCATGTCACGTGGAAGGGAATCACATGCCCTGGAGCTCTTCTACTGTCCCAAACCCTGGGTTTAGGGCTTTAGGGTTCTAGGGTTTTAGGGATTAGGGTTGTAGGGTTTAGGGTTTTAGGGCTTTAGGGTTTGGGGCTCTTCTACTGTCCTAAACCCTGGACCCCAAACCTCTTCTAATGTGGGGGCCTTAATAACTAGAATGGGTTTTGGGGTACATTGTATACTACATAATATATATATATATATATACACATGTTTATAATCAGGAACCTCCCAGAATACGATGGGTAATTATTAAGGCCCCTATATTAGTATGTTTACGGTCCAAAACATAGCGGTGGCCTGGTGGGATGGGAGAGTCTGGGCGGATCGTTAAGCAATACTCGCAGATGGCAAGGCAAAGCACTGGGATCTCAGAGTCCATATCCACATGAAATTCATAAAGGGTTTGCATAACTGGTGATAATATACCAGTATAGTCCAAGAATAGACATACCATAATTTACGCCGAAAACCGTATCTTAATTGTGAAGACCCGTATCTTGTGCCTTAGCTTGTGCTTCGCGTCCATAGGGGCTTTCGCTCGTTGGGGGGCTTACGTCGCATCAAGGTGACAGGAACACGCGAAATCTGGCACCCTGATTCCGTCGTGTCTGCCTGGTCAAGCCAAACCTCGTAGCATGCCAGAAAGCATCGTGAACAAGACTCTCCTTCGGTGTCGCTGGCCTTCGAAAGAAAGCCTCACAGCAAGGCTCCGGCCTCTACCAGCAGATCACCCACGGCGCAGTTATGCAAGTTGACTTGACCTTAGAAGGTTTAGAGTGCAGGAGCTAGGATAGTCAGAGTACAGGTTTCTTGTTTAGGGGGTCTGGGAAACCGCTGGAACTTCACTCGCCTGAAGCCAAACTTAACTTGCAACCTCTACACCATGGTGTAACTCAACTGGCAGTTGGTGTCAAAGCATGTGCAGATGAGAGGAGCATGCTTCCACGAAAACCTTCCGGTATAACACGTGACGGATTTCTCTGCTATCGATCTCCCTTACACCCTGCATGGGACTTTCCGAAAATTGGGGGTACCTTATTTTGGGGTCCTTATAATAAGGAACCTATTATTTACGGTACTATATTAGGGTCCCCTATTTTCGGAAACCCCCACATGTCCTAAATAAACATCTACTCCTAAGGCCTTCAATCCGTGACCCCAATCGCCCAGTCCCTAAACCATTCCTTCAGGGATATGAAACGGTGTCGGACGTTGGGACCATTATAGGCTCACTAAACTATAAGAACCCAAAAAGTTGAAAGGTTGGGTATTGGGGGAACTAAGTTAAGTAGGGTCTGAAGGTTAAAACACCAAGAAAGCAAGGTCTTTTGGTGCTAAACCCTACCCTGTAGCCGAAAAGACCTACCTTTTTAAGGTTCCCTATTACGGTCTCGATATATAGTTCCTTAAAGAGGTAGGTCTTTTGGGCCCCAGGTAAACCCTAAACCCCGAAATCCCTACATCCCTGAACCCTAGACCCCTAAACCCCTAAACCCTAAACCCCTAAACCCTAAACCCTAAACCCTAATTCCCTAAACCCTGAAATCCCCCTAAACCGCTGTTCGAGGGTTTCAGGGCTCCGGAAGGTCAAACCCGAGGCCGATCGAAGCCAGGGAACCCAAAGCCTTGGGCCGGGAGTCCCCAAGTCACAGACTGCCAATGCTTTAGGGTTTAGGGTTTAGGGTTTAGGGTTTAGGGTTTAGGGTTTAGGGTTTGATGCAGGTTTAGGGTTTGGGGCTTAGGGTTCGGGGTTTAGGGTTTACGGGTTCAGGGTTTAGGGTTTAGGGGCCTAAAGAATTAGAATAAGGCTCCTTTACAGGGATCCTTCAGAGGTTCTATCAGGGATCTCTAATAGGGTTCTCAAGTAGGGCCTTAATGATTAGAATAAGGCTTTAGGGTCTATTCTGCTAGAATATGCTATAATTCTAGTAAGAACCAGCCCCTCCCCCACAAACAAAAGTGTATAGGTAATAATTACAAACTGCGACAACGAGCTCCGAAATCAAGCCCCGCACGCCATAAACAATCATAGCACTTCCAGGTAGGCAGGAGTACCGTGCTTGTGTTTCGGAAGTGGAAAAATTTTGGGTAAAGGCGTTGGGGTTGACATTTTTGCCCACAGACAGTTTCCAGATTTGCCAGCGAGGGGCAGTCTCTATCGCAATCAGCTGGATTGCGAAAGCTGAGCAGCCTTAGTTCGATGCAGCGAGGCTTTGCCCACAGCTCCCCTACATAGAGAACTCTATATGACCAACGTATATATATGCAGCATACTACCTTAATATACTATGCAGGTACATGGAGCCGTTGGTTCGGGGACGCTTGGGTTTAGGGTTGAAATACCTTTGTTCGAGCTGGGGCTCGGTGCTTACTTTGTGCTGAGACCGAGCCTCTTTCGCAAGCCATCATGCAACAGTTGACACCCCCAATACCCTAAACCCTAAAGCCCAAAACCCAACTTTGAAAACCCCCCAGAACTATTTTCCGTCTACAGTCGGATGTTGAGTCTGACAACCCGGGAGGCTCTTGAACTTGGAGCGTGCCCTTCTCAGCTACCTGGATGTTAAGGATCCCTATGGATACTAAGCCAAGGTTCAGGGTTTAGGGTTTAGGGTTTAGGGTTTAGGGTTTAGGGTTTAGGGTTTAGGGTTTAGGGTACTTAAAGGATCATGGGACTTAGTAAGTAGGGTTATAATTAGGGTAACTATACTTATAATCCCAT